AGTAAACTTGTAAACAGTAAATCTAACGATGAAACTATTGTTTTGTTGTTAGGTTTGATAGCACTCTCTCTTGTGCTCATGAAGAGGTTTGAGGGTCTGAAAGTTTCACCAGCCGTGTTTGTTACTGCAGGCTGGGGGTGAGTCACTTTAAAGAAGAATGAACACAGAAACGAAACTAAGCTAGTTTGTCTTGTCCACTAAAAGGTGGTGCCATAACCAGAGCACTTGCCCTAAAGTAGAATTCACATATAGGTTTTGTATACATGAACAGGTGGCATCCAAAACAAAGCTCCACAATACTGATTTTCACAGGTGTAATGATTCCTCACTTCAGTGTAATGATTAAACAAACGTTTAAGTTCCTGCAGATTTAATCATCAATTCAGTGTCATTTAACTGGTTTATGTTTTACACTTTGAAACTGTGTGTGGTTTCTTTATATAACAGGGTTCCAGCCTTAGTAACTGCTTCGTTGCTCATTTCTGGGGAAATAATGTCTGACACAATTAACCCATCGTTCTTTTACGGCAAATCACAGGTAACAACATAAGTAGAGATAATTTTTTCTATTTTTGGCCATTTAAGAACTGTTTCTGAACAAGCAGAGGATTATTTTAAATTCTGCATGTCTGTATGTGCGCTCTTTGACAGATAATCTGCACTGCAGTTGTAGCTGCCATTAGCATACTGCTGGGAGGGGGCTGTCTTGTGTGTCTCAGTAGAGGAAGCTGGGCCCAGAATGACCAAATCCAAGAGGGAAACTCTGCAGAGGATCTTGTGACCGAAGTGGAACCAGAAAACCAGAATCTGTCTGAGTCATCAGGAGATCTCAGCAGAGGTACTTTCTCTCTTATGGAGACCATTTAACTCCATGAGTGACTATTATTCAACAAGTGTTTGAATATGTCACTTTAGTGACCCTGAATAAAGACCAGGTTGTCAAGCACAATAGTTTAGTAATTAAAACCAAAGCACATGATAATCTAGAGAATATAGAGGCAGAACCCACGTTGGACAGGAAAGGAATGGCACAATGAATAATCCAAGTCAAGACCCTTATCCACAAGTCGTCCAGAGCAAACTGTCTCGTAGGCAGTGCAACTCCTGTCTGATGTTCACCCTTCCACAGATAATTTTCAGTTACGTGAGTAGAAAAATGCCTCTGCAGTTACAAAATCACAAAAGAAACACAGAATAGACAAAAGTAGGGGGGAAGAACATTATCTGGAGAAAAACATGATACGCTGAGTTCCTGGTAAGTTTAGTTCCTTATTTCAAGTAAATAAGACTGTAGAAGCACATGCCTTTGACTTTTAATAAAGCCTCCCTGGCTGAAGTTTGTGTTACTTGGAAAGCAGGAGCAAAGTAAGGAATGTCTAGAAAGGAGTGGCTAGATGCGTTGGTCTTCTAAAGTCTGCACGCGGTAACTGAATCATGATCCGCTCAAGACTTGCATTTCAAGTTTAAAGATCATCATTATGATAACAATGTAGGCAACTACTGCTAATGGATGCAAACCAGTATTGCATGTGTTGAAGGCAATGTGATAAGTTGGATACTAGGCTGTTACTGTACATCATAGCAACATGTCAAAGTACTATAAATATACTGATAAAGACTTAGTCAGTAGTAAATAGAGTAAAATAGAAAACTAAACCGTAGAAGCTGCTGAATGATTTCAAAAACGCTCAAATCACAAAGGGAAGTTGCATGAAAAGATTCCTGATCAAGGCGAGATGTTTTTATGTCAACCAATGAAATGAAGGCTGTATTCTCACCTTGGTGAGAGTAATACCAGTACATTTATAAGTGTTGTATCTCTTATAAATTCTAAAAAAGAAAATTGTAGTACTTTGGTACTACTTTTGGTAAAAAATCACTCACTTTTATCTCTTTGTTATCAGCGTGCCTCATATGCGACTGTGCCCCAACCCAGCCCATGCCTTGACATGATCATCAGCGCAAATATCAACAACACACCACCTACACTCATGGGTATTGTATTGACAAGCACCAGACATAACATTTTCATTCTGCTGGAATTTAAAATGTCTCAATAAGTGAAACCTAAACATATCAGCACAGAACAACAATAATCATGTAACATTTGTTTGAAGAATGTGTAGCTTTCTCTAAAATGAACAAGATTCAGTATTTTAAATCTTATCCTAAATTAAAGTTCTGCTGCCACCCTCAGATCAGTGTGAGACTAGGTGCGAGTCCACAGACTGCCTGCTTGTCGAAGTGGAGGAGCTCCAGCAGGCTGCAGATAGACAAGTGGCCCGTCATGTGCTCCTATGTCTGCTCCTGACTGTCACCTTGCTTGCCGTGAGTAAACCACCACCTTTCACTTCTACATCGACATGAAGTCAGCCTTAACTGCCTGCATTATTGTATGTAGGGCATCACAAACCAAATTAGAAAGAAACGGCTAAGTGATTTCCAACTCTTGTCAGCATCAGTGAAGACCTTTCTAAAGAAACCCATTAAAAAAACATTTTGTTGTGTTATTTGGATTATTATTCATTGATCTTAACAAAAAAGAAAAATATTAAATAATAAAATAATAAATACCCATAAATCTTGTGGCACATGGTTTAATGTGTTTCTGGGAATCTAAAAAAGGTTGAGGAAACTGTAACTAAGCCACATTTTTTAAGGCAGTTCAGTAGTACACATCAACACTTAATTTCACCCTACTGGTTCTACAAGCTAGTACTTGGTAACCGGATTTGCTTTCTCAAACATCTTAATCCCTGTTATGACAGAACTTGTCAAGCTGCTTATGGTTGCTCTTTAACCGTGACCCTGGTAGACTCTACCTGGAGCTGCAGTTCTTCTGTGCTGTGGCCAACTACGGACAGGTTGGTGTTCCCGATGCTGTAGTACCAAGATTGTAGGGATATGTTATCTCACAGTGTCGTGACATGTTTTTTCTTACCAGGGGTTTCTTTCATTTGCTCTGTTTGGGCTGGACAAGCATTTTATTATACTGCCGTTTAAGAAGAGGTAAAATTTATTTTAAGTCACACTCTTAAAAGCCTATTTGAAGTTTTTTTTAATACACACAACATACTGTATGTACTGTGTATAAATGTTATGTGTACACTACACTAAACAGTGTACTGTGACCATGCATTTATATTTTGTTTTTGTGAACGGTTTTAGGTTATATAGTCTGTGGTATCGAAAGAAGCAAGAAGATCAGCTGCAGACTGATTTACCTGAGGATGTCAGGATGACCTGCACCCAGTTCACAAAATACCACAAAGACCAGTGTTCTCATGACATTGTCAAAAAGAGAAGGTGAGGGCACTTAAGTCTTACTGCTCTGCTCTGGTTAGAGGTTGATGAGAACATGTCTTGAATAAACATGTTCATTGATGTGTGCCGAAACAAGTCCTGGTAATCATTTCCCCACCACTCATACCTAAAGTCCTTGTAACTTTTATTTCTAATAGTTTTAGTGCATGTGGGCTCTGTCTGCTTGTTCTTCTAGACATTTGGGTGAATGCTTCCTTTGATTTTCAGGTGTGGTAAGAGGACTAGGGTGGATTGTTTTCTTGGCTGTGAACTTGTGGAGTGGCTGCAGCAGGTGGGCTTGGCTCAGGACGTGGGTGAGGCGGTACTCTATGGAACGCGGCTACAGCAGGGTGGTGTGCTCCAACACATCAAGCAGGAATACGACTTCCAGGACAGTCGCCTTTATTACCGCTTCATGACATAAAGAGTACCTGCACCCAGAGAGAAAATTGTGTTTGCACTGCCGTGATTTGTCCTGAACAGCACAAGGCAGTATTATGCAGCGCAACATCAAAGTCGGGTGTTGGAACAGACCATGACTGACTGTGCTATTGGGTGTTTAGAACATACTTGTGCAACAGACTTGTAACTTTCAAACAAAAAAGGCTTGAAACAAGACTTTTTTTAAAATACTGCTTTTAAAATACTTTTTAAAAATACATTTATATGCAGTCAACAGATGCAATTTGACTTTTAGTTGTTTATGTTTGGTCATTGACTGATAATGCACAAAGCGCTTCCTCACAAAACAAATTATAAGTGCAAATCCCACTCTACATTCTGCTGAATGTATTATTTCATTTACTGGGACACTTCACACAGTATTATCACTCGTCCACCAAAGCCACTTGCCAAAGGAAAAAAAGGGAAGATGTGGTTAAATCTTCATCCACTTTTTTAGAGTTTATTTGTAGTCAGTTTAACTTGTGATTAAGTTAGTTTCACCAGTTTGTTAACTGGTAATGTAGCATGAAGCATGAGTATTGTAGCTTTGATAACCTGCAGTTTAACATGACTTAGCATTGATGTGAGTCACTATGTAAGCAGTATCCCAAAACACCATTCCAACATTAAAAACATTATTACTTTATTTTAAGTAACAATAAAAGCAAAGTTTAAAAGGTCTGAATATCGATGACCGTGGGACTGAACACCTGAAAAAATGAATCTCAGAACTCAGGGAGTGTTAATGCATGTGTTTACAACGAAGTGTATCCACCTGAAGAAAAAAAAAAGCTGCTGTAATTAATTTTTTCTCTCAGGTAATAGTAGAAAACTAATTCTTTCTGGCTTTAAAGATTTATGTTTAACAAAGAGAAAACTGGTGTAAAAACAATTGTCTTTTTATTCTGTCAACGGCTGAATATTTATGATATGTATTTGTTTGAAAATAAATTCTATTATCGAACCTCATTTATGCATCACGTAATGATTTTGTTCTGTCCTGTATTTCTTGTCAATGGAATCATACATAAGTCTTTTTTTCAGTATTGTATGTATTGTAACATAGGATTTGTGAATTACTCTGGGCTGCGTAATGCTTATACAATGATGTTAAAGGGTAATTTCATTTTTAAACCCAAGCCCTATTTTCACATATTTTTGGGCTGTGAACTGGCTGCCAGCTGAAGCCATCTCCTGCGCAGGACCAACACAAAACATCTTGTACCAATTTGTTGACTCCAATAATGTGAAAATTAAAATTCAGAAATTGCCCTTTAATAAATATTCAGTTGTATTCTGATTTATCATACGAGCATATTTGTACTTCTACCCGACTAGAAGGTAAACTGCAGAGGCAGATACTGCTATTGTCACCCTTCAGGCCTGTTCTGTGGTTCCAACAAGTAGTGGGTCTCTCAGCTTTTGTTGTACACAGCCATCTCCTCCTTTACAGAGCTTGAGAACAGATCTGCCCAAATGTCAGGTTCCTCAATACCATGTGTAAGAAGGCCCTCCATCTGTGCCATCTTTTCTTTCTCAAGCTGCCTCAAACTTTCTGTGATCTTCTTTCCTCTGTCCTATAGACACCAAACAAAAAAACAATTTTAAGTAAATTTTTTGCAGCTAAATTACACATTTAGGTAAAGGCTTAAATTAAATAGAAAACCTTGTAGGATTCAGTGATGGCAGCCACCAGTTCATGTTTGACAAACAACTCGTGTTTGCGGTCAGGTTTGCACTGGAAGCGGGGTTTCTTCTTCACAGGGTCATCCTGACCATAAGTGGGAGAAGTTGTTTCTTTCAGCGGAATGAGGTTCTTCACAAAGATGAAAGGTTTGAACACAGACCTATTGCACAAAAGATAAGAGATACTTATTAAATCACCATTAACGGTGTTGTGGAAATTATATTCCTGGTGAGGGGTTAAGCAAAGAATTGAGTTACAACCAACTGTTGTCTTTAAAGACTTTATTTAACAAAAGAGAATAAACAGAGAAGAGTGGTCCAGAGACCTGCAGCCTAGGGCAGCTTCGGGCGTTTGGCCTTGAGCAAAGGGATGCATCATCATTAATATTTTTGATAAATTAATTAATATAATATAAAGTCAGATTATACATGATTTGCAATTTTTGAGGCAATAATTTTTACATAATTATTCTCATTTTCATTGAGAAATATATTTTAATTATTATGCTGTGATTTTTGCATTGATCTGCACCAAACAAATTTGTTTTCTTAAGTCTGTATATGATGTGTAGGCAGCACGACAATATTTATTTTTGTTGGTATTTTGACACATATTACCTTTAACAAATCTTGCAACTCTTGCAATTTGAAAATTACAGTAGGCCACATAGCGATTTCGAAAAGATTTCAATTAATTGTTCAGGCCCAACTGCTGTCAAATTTAATTTAAAGGACACTTTATCAGCCCAAGTGAGATGAAGCGCTGTACCTTTCAGGGTCTGGAGTTGCTGTAAAATAGTGAACCCCTGGCAGAGTGGGATCCCTGGGTATCACAGACACCATGCTTCCTGTGGTCATGAACATGCCCTCCATGTTGATGCCACTCTCTTTATCCCTCAGGATACCCATCATTGACTCAGCAGTGATGTGACCTTCAGTACAGAAAATCAACACATGCATAAACAGCGGTAGAAGTCACGTATCATCTTCCTCCTGCGCATTACTTACCATAGCTCTTTTCCAGCAATTTCTTCCCCGCACAGTATCGGGTCCCAGAGGCTTCAATTCTGGCTGTAGTCAAAAAGGAGAAGACTGTGGCAAAGTTGAACTGAGTCTTTCCATCCCACCAGCCTTTGCTTCGTGCATATTCCCTCATTCCTGGATGTTCCTTGTCTATCTTAGTCGTTATGCCATACTCGTTTGAAATGTTGCGGTATCCACCTAGAGAAGTGTAAAAAGAGATGATTAGTCACATCTTACTGATACAATACATTTAATGCCATTATTCAACAGAAACCACAAAGTGTTCAGTGTTATTATATATCAATGTCCATGTGATGATCTGTTTATCTACTACTTCACTTGTGAGGCCGTTTTAAGCTGACTTTTATGTTATGACTGCAGTAACACAAAAAGGAAGGTAGCCCTTTAATTTGAAAGTGAAAAATTATTATCATAAGAAAAGCTTGGACTGGCATCTTAAAGGAGAAGGACCTGGCTGCGGACAAGATGGTAGACATCAACCGCATTGTCGTTGGTTTACAGTTACTTAGAGGCTGCAAGTGGAGTAGCATTTGAACAGGTTAGCATAAATGCCAAGTTCAACTTTTATCAATTAAAGCCAGGTTTTAAAACTGCCACTATCGCTTTGTTAATTTCTGTTATTAAATTATATTAAATGCTGCCACCTGAAAATGTAGCATCAGTTAGTTTGAGTTAAAGGAAAAATTCTGCACATTTTATGTGGATGTCCAATCACTGTTGATGTCAAATGCAGTCCAATAAAGCAATAAATCCATCAGTGTGTGTTATATTGAATGAGAAAGCTGAGCCAAGTTGTTCTTCCTGCATCCAGCATGTAAAAGTAATTATACTTAAAGTATAATAATAATAATTTGGCAGTATATCTTTTTTCCACTCCATTGAGACTGAAGAGATACCTGTCAAACTAGCTAGTGACAATTTTACACAGTTCAGCTAGAATATGCTTTAAAATTTTACATATCTTAATGGGAATTTTGATGTAGCTAATAAGTTACATGACTGCTCATTGAGGTATAAAGTCATCACTTGACCAACCGACCAGCAGGGTCAGCTGTGCTTGCAGGTTACAGGTGTTTGATTATGTAAGTAACAAAAAAGTAACTAGACTCTGCTACCCAAATACTTTGTGTACTTTTGGTAAGTTTCATGGTTTTAGGTTTACAGTACATATTCAACTATCAAATATGAGTTTAACATTCAGTTATCCGTATGGACAACTTTTAATCATGCAGTGTGTGTTGAGCTTTTTTGCTGAAGGTTGTCGGTAAAGCAGAGTCAAACAGAGTGTATGATCTTGTATGGTCATTGAAAAATCTTAAATTGGACGAAGTCGAACAATAATGTCCTAACATGCAAATTGACAGTTGATGTCAATGCTGGCAATGAGACTCAAGTTATACAAACTTTTCTTTTCTGTTATGACTGGGTACAAAATCAAGACTGAGATTTTCAAATGTCTTAAAGATCCAAAAGAGATACTTTCATTGTTTTGAATAAAGATGAACCAGAGATGATGGCAAAGGCAGAATAATCCCCGCCTTTGTTATTGTTAGTAACTTATTTAAATAAAAGAGACCAGAGGGAGAAGTTCTGCTATTTTTAAAAAGCAACAGCCAGGTCCTCTTGGGCTACAGATACTGTATTTCTTGAGCCCAATACCAATATTGATTTGAGAGTTTATAAATCCCTTAAATTTGGTTATTGAAGATTTGTAACTAATGCTGCATTCTAGGCTCTCAGAAATTTCAACCTCCAACTAGAAAAAGTACTGATGTCGGAACACCACCTGAAGTGGGAATTCTTGAAAAAACCTCAACTTCACGAGTAGCATCTGAATGATGTCACACAATAATGGCAGCGCCAATGGAAGCACACATTATAAATGGTAAACCATAACCTATAAGGCAACATGAAGCATATTTGCATGTATTTTAATTACAAGTATACGTACTATCATATATTTTAAAATGTTCTGCATATAAATTGATATAGAAATATTACCCGGTTGTTTGTTTGTCATTATAGGCCTACAATACAAGGTTATATAACTAAACCAAAGTTTTTAGTCCCTTCATGCTACACACACACACACACACACACAGAGCTTAACAGATAATTAAATGTACATAAAATATGGTAAAATTTATAATAAATGATATTAATTAAAACAATAGGCTATATGCAGTTATTTATACAGCCTACAAAAGCTATGTATATAGAAAAATGTTGGCTATGTTTTTATAGGTACACCAAGGGCACTGTTCAGGTTTCAATTGTGTGCACACTTCACAAAGACACATCAGTTTGTCCCGGTAAGCCATGTTTTCCGTTCACTTTCGGAGGAGTCATGCACCACCATGCACCCGGGACGCTTTGGGGTAAGAAGTAGTGTATTTCATCTTGGAAATTTCACAGTTCCGAGCAGTCTGGAACGCAGCATAAGACATGCTGAGTGGAACATTTTACAGTTGGAAAACTAACCTGCCAGCGCTCTCTGGTGGACAAACTATGTAATGGTGACACTGATTATAAACAACCTCAAACATATCTTTGCCATTTTGTACTGCAATTTCTTATATACTTCTTTTATACACAGATACCAATATGTCTGTGATAAACCAATATATCTGTGATAATAAAATCAGTCAATATATTTAATCTAGCAGAGTCTGACTGCAATGTGTTAAAAACTTTGATTTACCAAAAGCTGTAAACTGTCACTTTATAGTTGAGGCTTTTGACTATGGCATAGTTATCATGTCACTTCCTCCTTTTTTCTTATTTCTAGAGACATGTTGTGCCTCTAGGAATAAGTGCCTGTCTTTGTTTACATACTGAGCAAATTTCATTTCTGCCCCTTTTACTACTGACCATAGACTCTATATAAAGCTACTGACCTGTTTAGGATGCCTACTTTCCCATGGTTTCTTTGTGGATTTAAATTATGGTACTGCAGGCAGAATAATAAAATAAAGTGCCTTTTGAACTCATTTCCTCGCCTTGAATTTCCAATGAGCATCTATCCTTTATATTCTTTGTGCAGTTACCTTCCACTCTCTCTGCTGCCCAGTACTTCCCTGATGTCTCCAGCAGCCATGCCTCTGTCCTATCTGAGATGAGGAAGCTGTTGTGGTAGGTGAAGCCACACTCATCCTCCATGCAAGATCCCCCCTGGCCATATTTCTCCAGCAGCTCAGTGATAACATTCACAGCTCTCTCAGCTGTGTCGGCTCTCTCAAGTCCAAGCCTGGAAAATTGTAGTTGCAGGGTCATGTTTTGTGTTTCTCACAAATATACTCTGAACAGACAGAAGACAACTAAAGAAAAATACATAATAAATTGTTTCTGGCTGATACAATGGCATTACATTTCCCTTTGCACCTTAAGTTGAGGATAGTTTGGCAAGTAGCAGAGGCAAACAATTGGCTTTTCCAGGGGCTTTACCTGACAAGATCCATGCCGAGAAGAGCTTCGTCGCCGTCAGCACTCTCTCTGCCCCACACTGCTTCATTTCCAATACACACTTGATGCTCGTTTGCGCCCATTTCTGCCCCCCACAGCCACGCCGGTCTGCTCAACACAACTGCATGAGTGTGGGCAACCTGCTCTATCTCTATGTATGTACACTGTTCACAAGAGGACACAGGGATATAAGCTGGCATGTTCACACACCAAGGAGCAGTCACAATGTGGGAAATTGAAGGTTGGAGGGAAATAACAAGCTGTCTGTGTCACCTACCTCAACCTTCTCCTCTGCACCATAGTCTCTGGCAGGAAAATACACAACCTCTTGGACTTCATCACAAGGCCTGTCAGAGTTTTTTCCAAAGACGACGCGTTGTCTTTCAGTGGAGGGGGACAGAGCCACAAAGGTGTCACAGGAGGATGGGTGCATTTTGAATCACAAACCTGTTGAGAGTAAACAGAAAGAACCACTGATTGGACAGGTTACATTACTCATATTTGATGAACAGAAGCATGGTTACCTTAGCATAAGCAGCCAGTGCACCAATACCTTGAACACACCTCACTGATATAAATTCAGATTTAGAGTTAGAAGTTAGCCTTATGTATGCTGTGACGCCAGATAGCCAGACAAGCCAATGTGCAGTCATGTAATGCTGTGACTAAAGATTACTCATCATTACAACCAGCTAACATTACCTATGTTTGTCAGTCCTGCCGCGCACTGTCAGTGTCAGTTTCTATTCTCATTTCTGTTTCCATATGATTTAATCGGTCACAGTTCACGTTCTCTGACACGGAACCAGTACAGTGAGTCACGTGACTGAGCTGAAGTCAGGTTTATATTCATGGAATAACAGGTTAAGAAGGCACAGAGGGTTGAAAATCCCTCCTTTTCTTACATTTGTGCCTTATAATTATTTGTTTAATCTGTATTACTCTCCCAATATTATTACGATAGCAGTTGTTGTCCAAAAAGTTGTCTTCCAAATCTTTTTATTTTATTTTAATGATGTTGAGAGATTTGTCATCAGATAGAACATAATTTTATATAAAGAATCACTGTGTAATTGCATCTGTCTGTGAAGCAGATGCCCATGTGTAACGATAACATTTTAATTAAAATAATTAAAATCAGTCAACGTAGGTTTTGGCGTATTATATTTTCTAAATAATGTAACTCTATTTGTAATCAGCACTGATTGTTGTGGTTCGGATTTAAATATGTATTTTATTATTTTATTTTTTATTTCGCATACATGAAGTTTAAATGTTATTTTAACTTCTTTCTGTAGTTCAAAAGCCCCCAGCCCCCTAACAACCAATATAGAAGCATCTTCATTCGCATTTGTTTACTTGCGGAGGAAGCTACGCTAGCGAGTCCGTTAGCTAACACTACGCAAAGTTTGCCTTTACAGATCATCAGCCATGGGGAAGTCGTTTGCAAATTTCATGTGCAAAAAGGATTTTCACCCTGCGTCGAAGTCAAATATCAAAAAGGTGAGTGGTAGCTACACTTAGCGTTACTGTTTGAGAATAGTTTGACGTTGCATCAGATTAGCCTGCTAGCTAACGTTATGCTCATTGCTTATCATAGCCCCGGTAGCTACTAAGAGCTATCGTGAACCATTTCATAATTACTTGATAGAAAATGTAACGTTATAGTCCCTAGAGCGGACGCTTTATTCTGTATTAATCATGGGTGAAGACAAAACACCTAAGCTACATAGATGTTTTACACCGTTAGTTCACACCAAGTATGCAGTTAGCGTTGAACAAAGCTATTGGTAACGTTACAGTTAATCTTAGCTAAACTAAAGTAAAAGGTACAGTGTTTCTTTAGTTTGCTGTTGTGGTCTTTAGATGGAGAGCATCTCTGTAAAATTTTAAATCATAAGTTGTTTAATCAAAATATATAATATAAAAAAATAAAAGTTGAAGAGTCGTGGCCATATAACTTCACACAAATGCTTTATACGTGTGAGTACTCACATCCTACTATTAGGTTTTGGTGGAATAACAAAGATACTATCAGTGCAGTTGTTCTACAATTTTATGTGCTTTTGGTTGCTAATATTTGCTCAGTGTTGTTTCTAGATGTTGTAGTGTTGTATGTCCTCTTTGGTGTGTGTATGTTGTGTAATTTTAGTTATGCACTGCCCAGAGACAAGCTCTTAGGCACACCTGATACACTATATTAGCTGGCAATCATTATATTGTGTGTGTATATAATAATAATAATAATAATTAGTAATAATTAGTCATTTAGCTGAAGCTTGTATCCAAAGCAACTTATATATGCTATACATGTCTCAGGTTACACGCCTCTGGAGCAACTAGTGGTTAAGTGTCTTGCACAGGGACACATTGATGTGTCGCATTGGGAATTGATCTCAGGTCTCCCACTTAAGGCATGTGTTTTAACCACTGCTCCATCTCTGCCCCATATACACCTTTCAATCATACCTCCCAAATACATTTAATAAGTGATTAAATGCATGTTTACGTGCTTTATTCATTGATTTGCATTACTGCTACAACTAACAGTGAAATAAATTACTTTCAGAATTTATCTTTGAGTTTAAGAAGTACCAGAAAATAGTGAAACATGCCATTCACTATTTCCCAAGAGCTGATTTCAGCTGATCCAAGCTGATTTCCTCAGATATTCACTTTAACATAAGTCAAAGAAAAGCAGCAAATCTTTACATACAAGAAGCTGAAACCAATGAATGTATGCTGTTTTTGCTTGAAAAATTGTTGCCAATCCATCCTCTGTTTGATCATTCAACACATCATCTCAGCCTGACCTTGGTTTGAAAGGTGGGTACAGGTCTATGATTGCATGTACAGCTGTGTAGAAATTAACTGACTTGTAGCCATTTAACTTGTCTGTCAGGCAAGTATGTTGACCCCAAAAATGTGTTGGAAATGCAAGACCAAGCAGAAAGAATGTGTGCTGTAATCATCCTTTTGTCTTTATCTTACAGGTATGGATAGCAGAACAGAAACTGACGTTCGAGAAGACCAAGCAAGAAGAACTTATGCAGGCCTATCTGAAAGAGCAGGACATTTACAACAACAGGTAGGATCAGTATTGCAGAGCACTGTAACTTATTTAGAGTCTAATGATAAACTAGACATATTGAATCATTTTTAAAGTTTCAAGGCCAGTGGACATTTTCTGAATACCTTCAACTTTTTGTTTTTACAGAAATGTTTTGAAAATGTTGAACAAAATATTTTTTCATCTCTAGGTTGTTGATGGGGGATGATCGTGTTAAAAATGGCCTCAATTTTATGTACGAGGCTCCACCTGGAGTATCTAATGGTAAGACATCTGAGCCGAGCAGTTGTGATCCCATCTAACTGAACTTCCCAAACACCATGTTTATTTTGCCAAATAATGTTTAATACTTCATTTGTTTTTGTTTTTTCTTGTATGATTGTCTTCTGCGCTGAAGAGGAAAAGAAAGAGGTAAAACAGAGATAAAATATCAAACCTATACAACTCCCCAATAAGAATGCATTGAAAATGTGTACACAATTTATGCATGTTGGGTCTGTTTTGCATTGATTTTCCATTCATTTATAACAACAAGGGTTTTGCATACTAAAATTCATGTTGAAAATGTGTCTGCTTTTCAGGACGGGGAAGAAGAGTACAAGTTTGAGTGGCAGAAGGTGGCTCCTCGAGAGAAGTAAGTAGTTAATGTTTATACACTGATATTTTCTTGCCATGTTGTCCAACACTCTTCCAGAATATGCATTCTTTTTAACCCTTAATTTTCTCATGTAGGTATGCAAAGGATGACATGAATATTAGAGATCAGCCGTTCGGAATCCAGGTGTGTGATGATTTTCATTTATCTGAAACATACTGCACCAGGGATTCCCAAGCTTGGGGTTCAATCTAAGGGGTCACAAAATTACAGTTAAACAAAATGGTTTTATTTTCCTTTTTTTCTTGTGAAATACTGGGTACTTTCACCTCTGCACCACCATGAAAAATCCTACAAAAATTAAACACAAAAGGAAAAGTTATGCCTTGGTTGCAACACATGTACAGACTCAAATATAACCTGTGACTAGCAGTTGCATGTAGACAGTGATTTGTAATTAGAGGTCACAAGCTGAAACAATTGGGAACTTCTGTATTATATAATACACTTTGTAAGTATAACACATTAATGGGATGCATTTTGCCTTACAGGTATGTATTGCCATTATTCAACGATGTGTATCGTGGTTTTGTTTAAATTATTATGCATACATCTCCAGTATTGAGACAATTCAAAGTAATGTCTGTTGTTAACTTTCCAGGTTCGCAATGTGAGATGCATCAAATGTCACAAATGGGGACATGTGAACACAGACAGAGAGTGTCCTCTCTATGGGCTGTCGGGGATCAATGCCAGCTCTGTGGCCACAGAGGAGGCAGCAGGTAAAGTACATACAGTCATGTCACAGTCAGTTTTATTTCTTGATATGTATGTAAAGAAACCACAACCATTTTATTTGCAGATTTATTTTGATGTTATTGAATAAAACTTAAGTAATTAATTAACTGACATAAGCATCGGCGGCAAGTTGCATTAACATTATTATATAAATATTTGGATCACTTGCATTAAGTAATCATTACAAGTTTAATTAAAAAATATATAGAAATTTTACCTGCTGAAATTTGGTTCCCAAAAAGTTATATATATTGCATTTAAACATGGGTTGTTTTTGTAATGAAAAAAGTTAAAAAGAATGACTTGTATTTGGTACAAAATAAAACAGGGAGGCATAATATCTGTGGTGTTTGATATTTGTGGCCTGTGGGTTAGCTTTAGTCTGTCACAGACTTTGCTGCAGGTACACCTACTGCATCTTTCCTCTCCAGTTTCAGCTGGAGCTCCCAGTTTTGAGCTGATTCTGACTTCTGCAATCAGCGAGTTGCGTTGTAAAGTAATAATGTTTACCCTGGGAGAGTCCAGTCAGTGCATGGTGTTGATGGTGGAGTGCTGTAATGGTCCCCCTCCTGTGCCGGGAGAAAAAAATGTAATTATTGTGTATTCTGATTCCTCTAACTGCTGCTTTGGCAGAGAATGATATTGTATGATTTGCTCAGCCGGAAGTGGAGTGAGTTGATTTGATGTCCCATTCTGTTAACAAAGCCGCCCCTGAAATTCCCACTGTGGAGATAGTGGTTGGCATGGGTTTGACATCAATGGGACTCTGAGGCTGTGATTTGTGCTAACAGGTCCGTCGATGCACCCCTCGGAGTTAATGGCGGAGATGCGAAACAGTGGGTTTGCCCTGAAAAAATGTGTCCTTGGTAGGAATGCTACTGTTTGTGATCCATCGCAGGTAATTGTCTGTCTCGCACTCTTTGCACACACAGGACTATATATGAACACACACACCTTCACAGAGAGAACACTAACAATATCTTTGGTGTGTCCCTAGCCCATAAATATGCCACAAAGGGGCAAGTTATTAGGGCAACTTAAGTCAAGTGAACAGATTTTCTAAAACAAGAAAATCATTGTTTAAGGCTGTTGATTTAATCAAAAATAGATTTGCTCAAATTGGCCCTTTTTAGTGTCATATACATCTGTATGTTGTTGTTTTGTGCTTTTATAGGAATATGTTGCCAGTGATGAAGAGGATGATCCTGAGGTGGAATTTCTGAAGTCATTATCAACCAAGCAAAAACAGAAGCTCCTCAGGTAAAAAGTGTAGCACAGTTTACAAGTCTTCATGTACGAAAGCTTTAAAC